AATAATTTTTGCTTCCAGTGTATTTATTATGTTTTGAATTTAAAATCAAGTTGGAATTTAATCGCCATCGTAAATATTTATTTTCAATTTTGGGTTTATTTCACTCTGCTAGGCGAGTCCGAAGAGATTTTTGCTCATTTAGTTTGTTAATAAATTACACAAAAAATTATATCAACTTGAAATATAAGAGGAAGATGCCCTTTGATTTTGAAGAAATCTGAATAAAAATGTAGGTGTTAATGGGGGTTGAAAATAACAAAAAAATCATAAATCAAAAACGGAAAGCGATATCAACATGAAATTTTTAGTAAAAACCAAACTCTATAAGGGTATAAGAGGATGAAGCATATTGATTCTAAAAAAAATCTAAATTAAAATGTCGAATTGAAGGGGGGGGGGGGGTTTGAAGTATCAAATTAAAATCTTTAGGAAAAATCAAGCTTTATAAGGGGGGACAAGGAGGGTTTAAATATTGAAAAAACTCCTAACTCACTAACAAAAAATGATATTAACTAAAATTTTTATCAAAAAATATGCTCTATAAAGAGAAAAATGTAAATTATTTTGGTTAGGTTTGACTGTGCACTGATATTTTTGTTTCAAAATTAAGTTTTAATTTCCACTTACTTGCTTATATATACATATTTTTTATTTTATCTATTTTCAAGGTACCTACACAATTTCAGTTCAATTATATTGTATTTGTGTTATTCATTATGTCATTGATGTAAATTATTTTCTTGTTTTTTATTTTTTGTTTATAAGTTTCTGTATCACCACTCATCCTGTAAGGTGGCTATATGCTGTTGGATGTTTTAATTAAATAAATAAAATTAATAAAAAAACTGCGCTTTAGTGCCCTGGAATTTCTATAAGAAGATCTTAAACATATTAGAGAGTTTGTGTATAGAAAACCAGTAAAAACTAATATAGATGAAAAAATATCTGATTTTTTTAAATACAATACAGCAACGGTAAGAGTTAGATTTTTACCTACTTTTCCATTCACGTCCTTCAAACTTTTGGTAAATGTCTAGTTTGAGCTCTTTTCGATTACACAAAAAACTAAGCATAGGTACTTGTAGGTATTACTATTGTTAACAAAGAACTAAGTTCTATATCTTGCGAAAATAAATAATAAGGATATAAATAATTTTTTTTTAAATAAAAATGTGCAATTTTTTCTATTAATTTTATTAATTTTACGGGAAAGAGAATAAATGTGGGTGCTGGTTAGGCAAAAGAACGTCAGTAGTTATAATATTAAAAAATATTATTAGGGCAAGGAAAATTATTAGAAATAAATTGCTGTACTTTTGATACTAAATAATAAAATAGTAAACTTTTGTGCAACAGTCTAAGACGTAAAAGTGGCATTTCTGAGCTTTGATTTGAGACAATTTGTGAAATATATATTTTTAAAAAAAAATCATTGTCTTTATTATTAATTTGCACAATATATGGAACTAAGATTTTTTATTTACAATAGTGAAGTGCAGTGAACACCCTGTTACATTTCATAAAAACACATTATTTTAAAATAAATACCATAAAAATATAAAGTATGACAATTTTATTATATTTTATTGAAATAAGGATAATTTCTTGAGCGTAGTACTATTTTATATGAATAATTGTTTATTTTGTAGGTTATCCCTAATGAATTTGAAGTTATAGAAAAATACCCTATATATACAGGGTGTTTATTAATTGAGTGCCGATACTTAAGGGTGTGAATCCTTAGGTGATTTTAAGAAGAAAAGTTAATATCAACATATGTCGTAACTCACTTAATTTTTGAGCTACAGGGTGTTACAGTTTTAAGAAAAAAATTACTTTTTTATCATAATTTTTTTATCACTCCAGATATTTCTATGAAATTTTGTACACACGTTTTAATAATTAAGGAGCATTTTTTGACGTATAATATTTTTTTTAAATTTTACCAGTGACGTCCGTACGGGGTTTGAACTGAATATTTTTGAAGAAAAAAATGGTACGCCACTGCTTTTTCTGAAAACCAAAATTATTTTTGAAATCATCATTTATTTTGGAGCAAACTTGGTTTATAGACTTACTTTCGTACGATACACCGTTTTCGCGTAAAAAATAAAAACCATTGTAGTGGTTGGTCAAATTTTTTCCTTAAATTCATTGATACCTACTGCTTTTGATATTTTGTTGAAATCTGGTAGGCACCCACCATGCGTCATGCGTGTAAACATTTTTTTGGGACAAAAATTAATTTTCTACGTTTTGAATAGAAAAAAATGGTAAGCGCATTATTGCCCTCTTAAAGCAAATGGAATAAACATTAGTAGGCTGGGTAAAGCGTCATCATTTTTGACGTTTCTTTTCATAAAGACAATAAAGTTGACATTGATTTTACATTATTAAATAATTATTATTAGAGTAAGAGTTAAAATCTGAAAAAAAAATGGTAAATTTTACGAACAGTGAATTAGCTGACATGCATTTTAGTTATGGGCTTGCAGACGGAAATGCATACGAAGCCAGACGGATATACCAAGAGCGGTATCCAAATCGCGTACTACCCGATCCGAGAACATTTTCTAGGATTCATAGACGTCTTCACGAGACCGGAACTTTAAAAGTAGACTACAGAGCTAAAGGAGTCCATCAAACAGTAAGAACACCGGAACTTGAAAAAGGAATTTTACATGAAATTGAGTAGAACCCCGAAACTAGCACGAGGAGACTCGCGTCAACATTTAATGTTTCACATGTACTTGTTTGGAAATTTGTTATACCCATATCACATTCAAAGAGTCCAGGCATTACTCCCTAGAGATTTCCCGTTGCGCATTAATTTCTGTGAGTGGTTTCTTCAAAACCTGCTGGAAAATCCATTATTTGACAGGCACATTCTTTTTACCGATGAAGCTAATTTTTCTCGAAACTCAGTAATAAATTTCCATAATAACCATTTATGGGCGGAAACCCTTATGCAATGCAATTGTTGAGTCAAATCATCAAGAACAGTTCTCTCAGTTTGTACAGCTTAATGGGTTTAAGTCTGTCAAATTTGCAACAACATCTGGAGTTCCTCAAGGTACCATTCTAGGCCCGTTACTATTTAATATGTTCATCAATGACATCTCGAGTCTAATTAAAGAGCAGTTTCTACTGTATGCAGTTGATTTAAAATTATACAAGCATGTTACAAGTATTGGCGACTGTGAACAACTTCACATGAATTTAAATCTAGTGGTTGAATGATGTAATAATAATAAGCTTGAACTTAACCCAATTAAATGTAAAGTTATGTGTTTTACTTCAAAAGGTTTACTTTATCCGATGTCACGTTTTTTGTTTACACGATAAGTCAAAAACAAAAATGATATCAACAAATTTTAAGCAAAAAAACAAATTCTATAAAAGGACAACGCCTATTTATTTAAAAAAAAATCTAATTAAAAATAGGGGGTTAAAAGGGGTTGAAATTAAAAAAAAATCAAAAATGAAAAGCGATATCAACATGAAATGTTTAGTAGAAATCAAGCTCTATAAGGAGATAAGGCCTATGGATTGTGAAAAAAAAATTGAAAAAAAGTGGTAGGGTTAAAGGGGTTGAAATATTTCAAATAAATCTAACTTAATAATAAACAGTAATATCAACTCCTCAAATTTTTGGAAAAATCAAGCTCTACAAGTGGATGAAGCCTATTGATTCTGAAAAAAATCTGATTGAAAATGGGGGTTAAGGGGGTCAGTTAAAGTATGAAGAGTATATTTTAAAATGCCACGCATTATATATCTTCATTCTAGTTTATATCTGTGTAGTATTATGTATTGTGATGGGACTGATCTTATAAAACACACATTTTTAGTTCATTTGCCAATAAAAGGTATTTAAAATATGTATTATTTTATTTAACTTGTATGACAAATTGTGAAAATGATTAAATTTACAATAAAACTGAAAAATGGTAGGTATAGTTTCATGTAATAATATTTTTTATGCAAAAATCAATATCAAGCTTTCTACATTTAAAAATAATCTCAAAATATGAAGAAAAGTCAGTTTACTAACTAATAATGTTTATATTATGGTTTTCAACGTATTAAAAACATAACAACTATTACAATGACTAAAATATTTATTTATTCATTCATTAATACTTGTAGTGCTTGAAAACAGTATGATATTGATAATAATAACTACACTTACACAATGTTTTGAACCGAACATACAAATGATAAAATTATTGGAAAAAGTGAAAACCCATTTTAAATTACTGCAAACCGCCACTGATCACCACTCATCCTATAAGGCTATATGCTGCTGGATGTTTTATTTAAATAAATAAATAAAATAAATAAAAAAACTACCCTTCAGTGCCTAGAAATTTCTATAAGAAGATTTTAAACATATAAAACCAGTAAAAAAATAATATAGATGAAAAAATATTCGAGTTTTTTATAAGATAATTCCGCAATGGTAAGGGATAGATTTTTACCTACTTTTCCATTTACGCCCTTTAAAAAAACTTTTGTTAAATGTCTAGTTTGAGCTAGAGTTCGATTACACAAAAACTAAGCATATGTTTTTGTAGGTATTGCTATTCCATATCTTCTGCAAATGAATAATAAGGATACAAATAAATGTTTTAAATAAAAATATGCCTTTTTTTATATTAATTTTATCAATTTTACGGGAAAGGGGGTACCTAAATATAGGGGTACTGGGTGGGTAAAACAACGTCAATAGTTATATTATAAAATATTATTGATTTAAGACAATTTGTGAAATATTTATATTTAAAAAAATTGTGTCTTTATTATTAATTTGCAACAAGATGTGGAACTAAGATTTTTTGTTTACAATAGTGATACCTACAATTACGTATGCCTAGTTTTTTAATAAGCGAAAAGAGCTCAAACTAGACAATAACCAAACTTTTTTTATCTTAAAACAATAATTTTTAAAAAACTGTGGGTTGCAGATCATAAAGTAACTAAAAAAAATATATACGTACTTCCCAAAATCAAAATAAAAATCACAAACGCGTACATTTTCGAAAATTTTCACTATAATTATCTTTCTACATTTCACCCCGCACCAGACACCAAAACATAATCAAATAACAATCCACAGACAGTTCATTTTCCGAGAAAAAATTTTTTTGTTAATCTTTCAGCTAAGTTAGCAAAAACAAACAAAAAATGATACCGTCCGTCGTGTTAATACCGCAACTTTGTAAACTTCGCGCGAAACAAGAGACGATCGCGATTTTATTTAAGTGGCATGGCATTCTTTGATTAGGTATCTGAAAGCGATGTTGGAATACTATACGATGCTATCTAGTAGGCTTGCGAGTGGACTGGAATTTTTTTTAGTCAGCCCAATACACTATCCGAAATTTTATTGTATGTATACAAACACAACAAAGATTTATGAAATACAGTGAGGAGTAGTTATTTTCCATATTTATGAGAATGTTAATATAGTAATTAAAACAATCTTATATCTTGTATCATTTAGTAATAAATAAAGTGAGATAATGATCAAGAATTAGATTATAATGATTAGAAATAAAAAAAAAAATAGAAAACTTATCTACTTAGTTCTTTATAAAAAGTTTTGCATGGTCTAGAACCCACAATGAAATCAAAAAGTATCAGTATCAGAATATAAATTTCGTGTAAGAATAAAGAGTATACAGTGAGCATCATAAGTATTACCCCCCTATCTAACTTGTTACTGGAGTCTTGTTAGGAAAATCGCCGAGACACATCGATTTTTGATTTCTACTATGTACATTTTTGTATGATTAGTTTACCCTTAGTTTCATCCCTTGCTGGAGGGGAACAACCCTTTCGAAAAATTTAAATAGTATGGGGTGGTGAGTGACAGCTCATTTGAAAGGGGGTTTTATTCTCTATTCAACCGTGCAAAAAATTTTGAAATTTGCTTCATTAATTCTCGACTAATTATTGTTTCAGAATTAAGGAAATTAACGTAGCGCACTCATCCTTAGAATTAAAATTTGGCCCTGCATGATATCGGTTTTGATTCATACGTGAAGTAAGACTTTTTGTCATTAGATAAGATTACTGTTAGTTAAGTTGCTTTCCTATTTGTGATGTTTTGTTATTTTTAAATATTAATAAATCAATATGTAATGCAGCAAATTTTTTTGCATAGTTGAATAGAGAATAAAACCCCCTTTCACCACCCCATGCCATTTAAATTTTTCGAAAGGCTTGCTCTCTTCCAGTAAGGGATGAAATTAAGGGTAAACTATTCATACAAAAATGTACATTGTAGAAATCAAAAATCGATGTGTCTCGGCGATTTTCCTAACAAGACTCCAGTAACGAGTTAGTTAGGGGGGGGTAAGACTTATGATGCTCACTGTATACCGAAGTATACAGGGAAAAAGCCACCAGTGGCGTAGCTAGATCTGACGGCGTCGGTTAGTAATAATTACTGGGGAGACTTAAGTCTATCGAAAAATCGCGATAGGGTATAGTTTTTTTTTTTGTAAGAGGTGAAATCCGTTAAGGTCATCCTTTGCTTGGGTCAATCACAATAGGATAGTGTGGAGACTCTTGGGAACGTTCAGATTCGCTCAGTATACCCACTAAAACACATCTGGTCTTCTTAAGTGGCTGCTCCTGGTACTGCTGTAGGCATTGCTTCGGGAAAGTGAAGTTTTAGTTGTTTTAGACCCTTCCTTGTACATCTCTTATATCCTTCTCTTTCGTTTCTATGATACGTTTTGCGAACTTGCTAACAGTATTCCAGTTTTCTTTATTTTATAACATCTTGTTTAGTACATTATCTGGTGTTAACTTTCCCATACTGTTTTCTAGTTCTATCAGTCATCCATCTATCGCACTCGAAAAAGGTATGCTCGGGCGTGTCTTCGATTTCGCAGTATATGTATCCTTCATTATATGCCACCTCAAATCTGCATCTGTATGCCTGAAAGCATCCGTGCCCAGAGAATAGTTGCGTAAGATGATATGTCATTTCTCCATGCTTTCTTTTGAGCCATGGATCTAGAGTGGGTATAAGTCTTTTCGTCCACTGTCAGACGTTTGTTTCTGCCTCCCATTCCTCTTGCCACTTTTGTATAGTTCTTTCAGTTGGTGTTCTTGTTTCTATTCCCTCTAGCATAGCGCACCTTTCTTTTACTAGAAAATATAGTGGTGGGGTTCTGGCTATCACCAATAGCGCTTTTGTCGACGAAGTCCTATACGAGCTCGTTATTCTTATTGCAGCTTTTCTTTGCACCCTTAGAAGTATGTCTTGGTATATCTTTCTTTTCATTGCTCTGCTCCATATGGTGGCGCCATAAAGCATAATGCGCCATTGTGAATAGTATTCTTCTATTCTCCTCCCGTGGACCTCCAATATTGGGTAGCAGCCTGCTTATGTATTCGATTGCCTTACTTGTCTTCTCTTTAACATTTCTAACATGCTGACCCATGATCATATTTCTTTCAAAGTATATTCTCAGGTACTTGATACATTCCTTGCTTTTTATATCCACGCCTTCCACTTTGATTTCTATTTCTTTTAACGTTCGCCCTCCTGCTAGAATAACCACCTCTATTTTTTCTGGGGCTAGGCTAAATCTTTTTGTGCATAGCCACTTTGTCACCTTTGAGAGTACTTTATTTGTAGTTGTCCTCAATTTTTCCTCGTCTTTTTCCGTTATCACTATTCCAAGGTCGTCTGCGTAGTCTATCAACTTGACTCCTCGCTGTACCGGAATTTTCATTATACCATCGTAGTAGATATTCCTCAGGATTAATCCTAGTACAGATCCCTGAGGAACTCCACAAGTGACGACCATTTTTCCATTCTGTCCCACGTAGAGCCATCTGTCTTCTAGGTGGCTAGCTATTAGGTTGCAGACATATGGCGCTGTCTCCTCTTTAGTTCTTCTAAGATATCGTTCCACGGGGCAGAGTTAAAAGCATTAGTACGTCTACTGTTACGAGAATACACCTTTTCCTTCCTATTTTCTTGGCTGCATCAACAATTTCTTGCACTCTTTGAAGAGCTCCAACTGTAGATCTTTTTTCTCGAAAACCATATTGTTCTTTAGCTAGGTCTCCACTGATTTCTATTTCTTTTTTCAGTCTTGAAAGTATTAACTGTTCTAGTAGTTTTCCGAGCACGTTTAATATACAGATGGGTCTATATGCCTTGTTGTTCTGGCCATGCTTACTTTTCTCTATTAGCACCAGCTTTGCTAATTTCCATTCTTTGGGGAATGTTCCTTTCATAACGAGCCCGTTTAGGACTTCCAGTACTCCGTCAGGATGCTCCTTGCCTTTATGATTTCTGGGGACAAACCTGGGTCCTGGACACTTTATTGCTGGCTACGGTAAGCTCTTGTTTTGTGAATATCGGTATATTTTCTTCGTCTTCGAGCTGGGGAATTATTTTGAAGAGCCAGGTTTTAGCGGTGTCATTGGCACAGATCAAGAAGAGAGCTTTTTTGTGGAAATATCCCTTCTTGAGCTGTGTCCCTGATCCCTCCCCACTCTTTAAAATTTCCTAGGGAAATTCTATAGGCACTACCGCCATTTTCATGGGCGTTAGTGCCTCTTTAAAGGACAAGTCACCTTCTACCACTTGCGATTAGTGATGTGTTATTATTTAACTCTCTGTTATTTGAAACACAACGGTTACAACCGTTAATCTAGTTTAAAAATAACAGGTGCAAAATAACGCCACAACACAGAACGGTTGGCGATTGCTTCCTCGCGAAATGCAACTTAACGAGAACGTGTTGGTCGATGCCATTCATTGCCGTCGATCACACTGCTAAATTTGCAATAACATGAGTTACAAGTGTTATTTAATAACGCTACTAGCAATCGTTATTTAGGTATTATATACTGGAGTCTGGACCATTCCAAGTCTACTGACATTCGTTTTAAGTAGGTAGTTTTCTAGTTCAACCACTAGATGTTAAAAATAACGACAACCTGTTATTTTAAGCTGTTATTTCAAAATAACAATAACAGTTGTAACTGTTAAATGCAAATTAACACTTTTTTCCATCATTACTTGCGATGCAGATGTAGTTGCTCTTGCTCTGTCAGACCCAGTTTTAGCCTTCTTGGGGTAACCTCTTACCGTGGCCTCCGTTGAAGACGGACTGTCACTTTGGAGGCGGCCCCGTTTGAGTTGGGGAGTTTGATTTGGAGTTCGGTTGGCTCCTTTCTTCTCCGTCCTTCTCTGAGCTCTGGGTCTAATTGGTTTTCCTTCAGCTTTAGCCTTTTGAATTGCCAATTTCCTCGTTTGGGCGCCTGAAAGTCGTTCAGGCGGCTCCAGGTGAGTCCTGTTGAGTTTTGAGGCAACTCGTTTCAGGCTAGTTTCTTCCTTGGGGTTTGTGGGACTGCCACTTGCCTCCGAAGGTAGTTCCCCCTTAGGGCGTTGTGCAGAGGTTGATGAAGACGAAGTTAATTCTTCTGGAATCGCTTCGGTTCCCATTTTCTCTGTTGTTTGTTGGTGTGGAAGGTTTTCTCCTTCTGGGAGTTCCCTGTCCGCGGTTGTTTTTGGGTTTGATTGATCCATATTGGTTTCACGAGTAGCTAGGAAAATAAACGTACAGCCGATGAGAGCCTCGCATGACCGGGTAAGGCTAGATACAAGCAAGGGCGGCACCAAGACGAATTTTCGGGGAGGGGGGCCATTTCCTTTAGCCATTCCCATTTTAGCATATATTTTTAAATAAAAGGCTCATAAATCGTAAGAATTTTCATCTCGGATGGGAGCATGGCCCCATGGCCCCTCTGGAGCTGCCCTTGGATACAAGGGGATTTCGCCAAGTGTCCCAGAGGAACGTTGCCTTACACTTTAGCTTGGGTTTTTGTTGGAGTGTCATTCAGTTAGTTAATAGTGCTGCTCTAGAGCAGCAGTATTAACGTATCCAGCGGTGCCACGGGGAGGCAGACACTCGATGATTGCATTTCTCCATTGTCCATGCAAAAAGAGATACCTACAAGCAGACAAGCAACGAGCAAGCAATCTAAACTACAGAGCAATGTCCAAGCTACAATTAATCCTAGGTAGGTAACTATCTTATAATCTCACCCCCTTGTTATCATTTTGGTTTGGTTATACCTAATAGTCAAATTTATATAATCCTGATCATCTAATGATTTTAAATTGTCTATTGGGATTACCTCCATTTTCTTCATTGTTCCAGTTGCCCCCATTCCCTATTACTCATATTGATCCTATTGATACTGCCCCCTTGTATCCACCGGTGCCTAGTGTAACCGGTATCAATCAAAAATAGAACGTGTCCAACACATCACTGTCCTGTAGACTAAAATATTGAGTACGGC